CTTGTTCGTAACTGAATGAATCAAGCGTGTAAATGATTCGGTTCAATCGCAATGACTCACTTAACAGTAACTCGCTGCCACCTGCTGGCGGTTTTAATTTCACATTTAAAGTATCTTTTCATTTTTTAAATAATTTCAAATATCAGTATTCAACATTTCATGTTTAAAATATCAAAACATTATTTATTCATTTGTTACTTCCGGCTTAAAGCATTCCATGTCCCTCTAAGCTGCATTAACATGTGTAGATACATCTAAATGCCACTTCATATGCAACTTCTGCAAAGATTAATTATAACACACTCAGCAAAATATCGTCTAATTACTTTTATCGATAAAATCATAGAAAATATTGCGATATAATTTTTTGTACAACCCTAGTACTGACACAATATGATTTGCAACGGTCGCTTTGTCATGCGCAGTGTAGACAGACTCAAACTGTTGGTTTATTTCTGTCTTTTTTTTTGGCTAGTAGAAGTTATGAATGGCCGGTAACTTAAAAATTTAGTAGCCAAATTGGCTGGTGAGTGAAAAAGTTAATTTCAATCCCTGACTATAAACTATGATAAGTTCATCAGCATGCATTTATTAATCCCACGTTGTAGCAAAAAAAATTGAGACAAAATTATGTGCTCGTGCGACCAACTGAGAAAGTCAGTCACAAAAGAGCGACCAGTGAGAAGAATGATTCTAGAGCCCTGGATACTGAGCGTGCATTCTACAATACAATACATTAATTTTGTCAGACGCTCTGCAACAAATCCTCCTTTAATGTTTCTTATGGGCCAGTGAGGGTGTTTTTGTGTTTGCACTGAAGTTAATTTAAAATAATAAAAAAATGTGTCTGGCCAATCCGGGGCCCCTGCACACGTGGGGACCCTAGGTTGCAGCCTAGGCAAGCCTGTGCATTAATCCATGCATGATAATAACATTAAAAATTCAAATCCAGATTTGAAGTTTCAAAGATTTATTTAAAAAACTGATTATTTTTCCCAAAATGCAATAAATCCATTGAATCAATATAAAAGTTATTTTTCATATTGAAACTGTTGAAAATACACAACAAAGTAAGTTGATCCACATATGACAGCCTCTGAACTTGGTCAATACTAATCTTATTGATAGCTTACGTTTCTTCCCCACCGCAGAAACCACCACAGGTTCTTCAATGCTGTCAAAATCATTATTTTTTTTTACGGCTGCATGATAAATCGCATGCGATTATCATGCACATCTCGTCAGTAAAGCCGGTTCTGTGATTAGTAGTAAATCTCCATCACATGCTTTCAGATGGAGCGGCATTTAATACACAGAGCCGTAGATCACTGACAAGCTACGCAATATCGCGTTCATAATCGAAGGCGATTCATCTGCAATTATGAACACGATATTGCGTACCTTGTCAGTTACTGTTTACAATGCGTGGAATGGTGCGCTGTGATTGGTTGAGCGGATGTATCGCGTTCTGCAGAGAAGGGAGACTGGCGTTTGTTGCGGTTTGGAAAGACGGAGAAAACATGACAGGATAACACAGCGGATATCGCATTTTGCGTAAAATTAAAAATGTAACGGGAACTCAGTTTTTTTTTATGGCTTTTATCGCGTTTTGGAACCAAACTCTCTCTCTTTTATATATATATATATTTTTTTTTTTTACTTTTAACTAAGCCAATTTAGCTGTGATAGAAAAGTTACCAGTGCATTGACACTGAGATTATCTTAAACAGCATATTTTGTGCAACAGCTACAGTCTGGACACACTTAGACATCAACACTCATCATACAAACCTCAACAACGGTGACAAAATAAGCTACTAAAATTAATTCTGCAGTGCATGCTGGGATGGATGAGTTTTGATTGCTGCACCCAGTTGCACTGCAGCATGAAGCATTTTGTTGATTGTCACCATTGATGAGATTCATACAGTGATTCTTGATGTCTGTGTGTGTTTGACTGATATGCTCAAAACTTGTTGTCCAGCAAGTTTTTTAAAATTCCTCAAATTATAATATTGCCATAATACTGGAGCAAATACTGCAGTGTGACAAGAACAATAATAAAAAGTTTAGATACACACTAAAACCTAACAATCAGTGATTAAGTTGCTGATGTGATCAGTGTATATAAAATAATGATAATAATAATAATTAAAATAGACAAAAGGACTTCTCCAAAATCCAAGTTGTGCATGATGTGTTAAAAGTATTACTGAATATATTACAGGTGCCATAAAGAAAATGTGGGAGTACAATGTAATAACAATGTAACAATTCATAGTGAATATCCCATTTACAGCTTAAAATCATGTTTCCCCACTTAATTCACATCATTACATTTTATTTGCATGATGAATTGCATGTGTTCAAATCTTGGAGTGCATATCTTTTTTATTATTATTTTTATGCACCTTTGAGACAGTCCCTTAAAGGGGTCATATGATGCGATTTCTATATTTCCTTTCTCTTTGGAGTGTTACAAGCTCTTGGTGCATAAAGAAGATCTGTAAAGTTCAAAGAGATTGAGAAAGTTCTCAAATCCAAAGAGATATTCTTTATAAAAGTTAAGAGTCAGCCACGCCTACCTAAAACAGCTCGTTCTTACAAGACATTAGAGCAGACGCTGAAGCGGAATAGAGCAATATTGCACTGCTGTAAAACACGTCCAGACAAGCTAGATATTGTAACGATTATCTAAATGCTTGTAAACAGAAGAAATAAAACATTCATGCTTTGTAGGATGTCAGTGGGTTTCACTATTGTGATTTAGGTAAGAAAAAAAAATCATTAAGTAAAACAATGTCAACTTGAAATTAGTGCTCCTGCTTCTGCTTTTATACTGCTCAAAATTTCAGAACTTTCATGTGACTGTTATTCTTCTATTACAGTTAAAGCTTCACTTTATATTACACGTTTGAGGTATTCGGCCAATCATAACGCACGGGATAGCTGACCAATCACAGCACACCTCGCTTTTCAGACCGATGAGCTTTGTAAAAATCGCAGGGCAAAAAAGGCGGGGCATAGAGGAGAAACAATAATGTACGGTATGTGGAAAATAATGTGTTTTTTGAACCTTAAACCGCATAAACACATTTCATTACACCAAATACTCAAAATAATGTTCTTTTTAGCAACATCATATGACCCCTTTAATTTGCTCTGCGAATGTCTAACGAATGTCCAACATAAATCCAACTTTACCTCACCTACCATCAGCTAGCAGGAGCACAGTCTGGGTCTGCGAAACAAAACCAACCCGTTATGGTCGAATATAGTACTGCTAGTATCGCATCCTGATAGGTAGCATATAGGCCTATTGTAAGAACAGAGGTGTTGTGCCGAAATGCGTGACCTAGTGAAAAGTGTGACCAGGGTTTGCTCATCAGCAAATGTTCGCGAAGGAGCGCACAGACATTAGAGCAGATGTTGAAGCGGAATGGAGCAATATTGCACTGCTGTAAAACACGTCCAGACAAGCTAGATATTGTAACGATTATCTAAATGCTTGTAAACAGAAGAAATAAAACATTCATGCTTTGTAGGATGTCAGTGGGTTTCACTATTTTGATTTAGGTAAGAAAAAAAAATCATTAAGTAAAACAATGTCAACTTGAAATTAGTGCTCCTGCTTCTGCTTTTATACTGCTCAAAATTTCAGAACTTTCATGTGACTGTTATTCTTCTATTACAGTTAAAGCTTCACTTTATATTTCTCAAGTGAACACTTGTGTCGCACAACTACATGATAAATTGAGTGCTGACAGGAAAATTATTTTTAATTCATGCTTTATTTATCAATTTACTTTATGGACAAACCTATTGTTTTGCTACATAAGACATTAATTGATAAAAAGTTGCATGCATGACATTTGGACCCTCCAAAAGATTGCAGCACCATTTGCATGGAATGCATCTACAGATGTCAAATTTCTTTCTAATAATGTTTGTGGTCTGCTGAAGAAAGGTATTGTACACATTTGGGATAGCATTCAAAAGGGCTCTTAGTTTATTGTTTTATTATTATTATTGTATTTTTTTCTTGAGCATACTGAATGTTTTTCCTTGTGTAATATTTGTCTGTGAGTCCTTCAGTTGTCTTCAGTATGAAGATGGATCTCAAAATCATACAGTCACTGGAAAGGGTTCAAATATGCAGGAGATGCATATACTATGTTTAACTGCTCAGGACAAACAAGAGCCTCATGAACAATTATCACAAATATAACAACAGATTTTGATCTTGGTAGCGACACAGTATTAAGAATCAAGGTCAACTTTTGAACTGGTTCATTTGTGTATTATTGTAGTACTCTCATCAAGGCAAAGTGTTTGACATCTCAACCACACCTAATGGTGTTGCCATTAATGCAGAGGAACAGAGCAGCTTTATTTTATAGAATCTGCATTCATTGGGAAGAAATGGGGAATTGATTAAAAATTGTGATTAATTTATTCTTCAGGTGCATTTGGTGTTGATACAGTTGAAGTGTCAGTGATGGAGGGAGAATCAGTCACTCTACCCACTGGTGTTGAAACAAACCAACAAGAGAGAATCAGATGGTATTTCAATGACACTCGCATTGCTCAAATCACTGGAGATCCCAATAAGACCTGTACAGATGTTCAGTGTAATAAAGGTACTGAGAGATTCAGAGACCGACTGAAGCTGGATAATCAGACTGGATCTCTGACCATCATGAACATCACAACCACAGACACTGGAGATTATAAACTACTGATAAACAGCAGCAGATTTGGCATTGTAAAGACATTCAGTGTTACTGTCACTGGTGAGTATCATTTTAGTCATTCAGTGCTTTTTCACTTTAATCATTTTAGAAAACTTTTAAAGTGTCCCAGTAATTGTTTTCATTGTAGCCTGTTTGAAGAAGTGAGTTTTGACTCAATATTACATTATAATTTAGATAAAAATCTATCATGTTTTACATGCACATCAATATGAAAATCAACACACTGAGTCTTTGTTATGGATTTTAAACTTTTGAAGTTTATTGTTAACAGAAAAAAAAGTCATAATATTAGTCAGTTTTCCTGTGAACACTGCTGTTTCTGTTGCTGTTTAAGCTGCTGTTCCTTACAAATCAACATCATACAACTTTCTAGTAAATATCAGTCAAAAGTTTTGGCATAGTTGTTTATTGGTCCATCTCTAATGAGTGTCTGTCTTTAGCTGTTCTAGATTCAACTACTGTTGCTGCTGCTGTTGTTGCTGCTGTTCTGTTGGTTGCAGCTGCTGGTGTGATTTACTGTTGCTGCAGGAGATCTACACCAGCAGGACAAGATGGCAAGTATTGCATACAGTTGATTTGACATGCTGGAATAATGAGATTTACTGTGTGAAAAAAAAAAATTTCTTAAAATCTTAAAGATAATCTTTAAAAATGTGTTAAAGGGGTCATATGATGCTTTTTTAAAGATCATTATTTTGTGTATTTGGTGTAATTGAAATCGCATCATATGACCCCTTTAAAGTATGTATATTTATTCTAATTGACCAAAGTAAAATGTTGTTGTTTTGTTCAAACAGGACAAATGATGCCGCACAATGATCCTGACCTGGTAAGACACTATGTACACAAAATCTGTCTGTCATGTCATTTTAAAACAAATTAGACCAAAACAATATGATTTTATTATTATTATTATTATTATTATTATTATTATTATTATTATTATTATTTTTAGAGTTAGAGTTTAGATTAGAGTTCTTACGTTGGAGTTTGTTTTGGAAGTTTGAAACAGCTTGCTTTGAACTACCATTGGTCTGTGGTGATTATGATATAGGTGGGTGTGGCTCTGGGGCTTCTTCGACATCGAAATCTTCTCCAGTTAATTTATTCTGTTCAGTCCCTCAAGATCAGACATCCGTGAATTAAAACATGAATACTCTGGAGAGCTGCTTTATAGAAATCGAAGATGTCATTCTGTCGAACTGAAAGCGACACTGACACTGTTTTTCATGTTCAATAGTGTAAAGCTGCTTGCTTTAAAGCTCTATTGTACAAAGTGCTATATAAATGCCAAATTGCAGCCCGTCCAAACATATCCACATCACTATGAAAAGATGCTTTCTAAACTGCTGTTTTCTCAGCACTGTTATTTTTGTTGTGTGTTTATTTTGCTATTGAGAGGAAAGTGCACAGCACATATTTGCATATTAATGTAAACGCCAATGTCAGCAGTGCAGGCGGCGTCAGAATGTTTGCAAACTGTATATATCGCTGGTCACATATTTCAAACTTGTGAATAAGGAAAAGTACTTAACCATGAGTATATTGGGGCCTTAGGTGGTATGTAACTTCTGAGATTTATGCTGTTTGTTTTCATTCAAAAATCATCACATAGAAACACTAATAATACTTTACTTCTTTAAGAGAGCAGTGCTCTCGTGCTGTATTATTTCAGAATGAAGAACAAAGATCTTTACATTCAGCAATCATCTGAGAGAAAAAAATGTCTTTGTAAAACTGAATCATCATTTTCCCCCCACAATCATTTGTTTTACCTTCTGTGAATCTGTTTTCTTTCTTTCAGGAGAATGGTGGAGAACCATCGCCCCTTATTCCGACTGAGACTCTACAGATGTTTGTTGCTGATAGGACATCCCTTGATCAGACTGATACCATGAAGACGGGTGCTGCTGGAGGGGCATCCACTGATCAGAATAAAAACACACTGACAGGTTCTGCTGGAGGGGCATCTACTGATCAGATTGATACCCTGAAGACGAGTGCTGCTGGAGGGGCATCCACTGATCAGATTGATACCCTGAAGACGAGTGCTGCTGGAGGGGCATCCACTGATCAGATTGATACCCTGAAGACGAGTGCTGCTGGAGGGGCATCCACTGATCAGATTGATACCCTGAAGACGAGTGCTGCTGGAGGGGCATCCACTGATCAGAATGAGACCATACAGACAAATGCTGCTGGAGGAGCATCTGCTGATCAGACTGAGACCCCGCGGATCGGTGTTGCTGAAGGGGCACATGTTAATCAGACAGGGTGTTACCTGCAGTAAAACCATGATGAAGGGATTATTACAGCTATCGAGACAGGAACAGTGTGTTTCCAGTATTGCTGTTTCTTTAACCCTTAAATGCGTTAATGTTTTGTAAGGAGTGAAATTATTTAATCACGAATCCAAAACGTCAGGAACTCTCACAAACAGATGTCATGCAACAAAACAATAAAACTAATCTGGAGAAGAGATCTCCAGAGAGAGCAAACAACACCACACCCTTGCTCATTTACGACCCCCTTCTCCCCATCCCCCCCCTCCACCTTTGTTGTGCGATATATTGCCCCAGAAATAATTGTTTTTTAGTTATATTTAACAAATACTCTGCAACACCCCTCAGTCAACAAACCAACTATGAGGGTCTATGGACCCTTCCCCCGAAATGCATCTAACACCTCAGAAAGGCAGAACAGGCCTCTGCTTCCATGGCAACCAATGCTGATATCATTGTATTGCCCAAAGGAATGCGGGCAGAGAAACTCACAGTTAATTTACCCTTAGGAAAGACACACAATGCCCATAAAAATGAACTCTTCTCTAATTAATTCATAGAAAAACCGTTCTGTGAATGAACACACATCTCCTCAGGACATTGTGTATACCATTACTGTTCTTGCGTTCATCACTCTTCAAACCCGAAAGAAGGTGATCGCGACTCCTACACCACCGAACCTCCAAACCATCATCAAGACTTTCATTCGAGACTGCATCCGTATGCTCGTTCCAGGCCAAGGCAATGCAAGAATCGTACATTTAACTAAACGAAACAGAGGTTTAGGATAAGCTGTAGACCCCGTTATAAA